TTAGTAGATCAAACCAAAACATACACAACTATAATTTTCTCACTTTAACTCTGAAGTTAATTAGTTTTCACAGCCATAGTTCTTCTGTTCTTACTCATTCCTAAGTCTTTTGAAAGTGATTGGAAAGCAGCATGTTATTGTTTATATGCTTTTGTCATTTAGAAGGAAGAAATTAATACCTCAGTATATACTATGTACTAGACTGTAATTTAGGTTTTTCCATATATTTATGACAGTTTATTCTTCTCAGAACTCATGAGGTAGTGATTTTCCAGAAAAAAAAACCTTAGGCTCAGAGATGAACTCATAAGTAGAAAACTCCACTCAAAAGTCTATGTCCAGCCCTGGCTGGTGTAGCTCAGTGGATTAAGCACAGGTCTGGGAACCAGAGAATTGCTGTTCAATTCCCAGTCGGGGCACATGCCTGGGTTGCAGGCTGGTTCCCTGCAGGCCAGTTCCCAGCAGGGGATGCATGAAAGGCAACTATACATTGATGTTTCTCTCCTTCCCCTCTAAAGATAAATAAATAAAATCTTAAAAAAAAGGTTTTACCCTTTCTATTCAATTTCTACATATTGATCCCGAGGAGTTAAAAATGAGAGTTAATTAGCTCATTATTCAGTAACGCATTATTTAGGGACTAAAAGTTCAACGAATATTTGTGTTATAATGTAAATACATTAGCATGGGCTTAAATAAAGATCTGAAACTCAAAAAAAAAAAAAAGTCTATGTCCAACTGTAAAATCTTTGCTTTTTATTCATAATGCCAGGCTGCTCTTTTTAAACATGCCAAAAGAATAAAATTATTTTAAAAATAAAAATATGTGAAAATGAATTTCTTCCTTAAGAATTCTTTTTTAAATGCCACAAGAACTGTGGGGATAACTGAAGGTACCCTTGGGTGGCACAAAACCACAGATGTGGACTGCTACCTAAGCTTTAGGCACCACTGTAATTTTAGCCCACTGTACTTTTTATTTAGCCACAAAGAAATCCAGCTTCCTGGAGCTGGTTTCTATTTGGATTCTAGCTTTCCGGCTCCTGATGTGGGTTTGTGGTTTTCAACTGCCTGCACTTTAAATAGAAAGGACTGGAAGGTCTTAGTGGAATGGCAGGACGGGAACGGGGAAGGGGCGGGAATGGGGGGAGGGGGAGGGGCGGGGGAGGGGCGGGGAGCACGTTATGGGGTGGCGGGGGATGGGGGGGCGGAGCAAAGAGCACTGCTAGCCATCCTGTAGTTCAAGACATTGACCAGCAGGTGTCTCTGCAGATAAAGGAGAAGTTTCCTTTTGACCTTAGAGGTGGAAGATGGATTTTCTGGTTGAGCTGAGGAAAACTGTGACAGAAATTAAACAAAGATAGGTCAGCTTCGTACAGAAATCAATCCCAATTTTTCTTAGCCAAAAGCTAGTAGAAAACGTCAGCAAATCCCAATCTTAATGCAAGGAAGCTCCTGTAAAGCAATCTCTGTACCATCTTCCAAAACATTTGCAAGGTTGAAGGTGAGCCCTTCAAACTGAGAGGTAGTTCCCAAGGCAGGTTTGGCAGAAGTGATGGGTCTTCAGGAGAGATGTGGGAATGAAGGGAAAAGAGTAAAGAAACAGTTCTGTAGGTTTTGAACCGGGGAGTGAAGAACTTCCACTTGAGATAGACTTTAAAGTGTGCCTTTATTTTTTATAGAGTTATGAATTCTAGAATTTTATATACACTTGTATATTCAAATGAAAGGATCCAAATATGAGAAAATGTCAATATATTTTTGAGCATAAGACTTTTCATTTAGAATAAAGAGACAGAGTATAAGAAAAACAATTCTGTTAGTGTAAATATTAGGGAGTTGATCACAGGGTAACAGAGTGTATACCTCACCTTAGGAGCATATACTTTCCTGAAAAGAAGTTTTCCTGGATGAATTTTTTTCTCTACTAATTGTGTTTTCCCATTGATTTTACTTATAAAATCAAAGATATATTTGCCCAAGGAAAACATTGATCCCAAATAATAATATAGTCACATCTAAGAATGTAGAAAACCTTTAAGAAAAACATGCTTTAAAATGTTTTGTATGATTTAAAGGATATTGATATTCTAGAAAATATGCAAAGCAGTAAGGATAATTTTTGTTTTGTGTAATAGCTCGAAAGGTTCTATTAAAAAGAAAAATGTGGGCAAGGTGAACAGAGAATCTTTGACTGAAAGCTTATTTACCTTCTTTTTAGCTCCCTCTCCAGATACTTTATAGCAGGAGACTATGTACTTTGCCTGCTCAAACCTGTTTCTGGTTACCCAGGGGAAGCATTGGAGTATGACTAGGTTGATCTGGGATAGGAGAAGGAAAGGCAACAGCCACACAGCTGAGGTGGTAATGCTGAATGCAGCCCGAACAAAGAGAAAACACATTCAGCTCATCTGGAGAACCAGGGCACACTGAGTATTTTGACCAAGTCTATGTGATGGCAGAATTTATAACTAGCTAATGACTTCCTTGGTTGGGAATAAGTGGCATGTAAACATTCTATGATGTTGTCTTTTGGCATACAGGATTTCTGAATATACTTCTGTATCAGTTGAATGCTTCTATAATGTTAGCTTGTACCTGCTCTGTCTGTCCTGTTCTCAAGAACTCTCAAAGTCTTCTACTTTCCTGGATGTAAACTCAGCTTAGTCACCTTGGGCTTCTGGAAGAACAACTTTTCCTATTAAGTTCTACTTTTAGAGAGTTTATAATCCAGTGGGGAAAGATCTCAGGCTCCAGAGGTAAGTAAGCTTTGTTTAGGTTCGTTTGCATCCTAGTTCTACCACTTTCTAGCTCTAAGACTGTGGCCCATTTTCTTAATCCCTCTGTACCTCCTTTTCCTTATCTGCAAAACGGGGATAATAATAGAATTTATCTCATACATTTATTGAGGATTGAGTTCATGTCTGTAAACTGCTAAGGATAAAGCCTGGCAAATTGTTATTGTTGACTTTGAGTTCCTCAATAAATCCTTATTAAACACATGCGAATAACTGTTTTCTTTATTCTCCAATGGTTTTTGTTCACCAATGCCCTCCTCAATTTTCTATATTCTTCTTACCAAAGAAACTCTTCGGGGAGATCTCCAGTAAGTCTTTGTCCAAGTCCCAATAGGATACACTGTCTACTGGCCTCAGTGCATGTAGGCAGGGAGCACAAATGACATAACACCCAGCATATACATTCTGGACATTATTAGGGGAAAGAGTGATGTGCCTCTTCTCTTTGGAGGTTAGACCACTGCTACATTTTCTAGTTTCTCTCTAGAAGGTTCTTTGTTTTTGACACTTTCCAGAGAGCAGCAGAAGTTGCCATACTTGATGTTCCAATGATCTCTATGAGTGGAGGAGAGGCTATAAAGTCACTATAAGAATGGTTTCAGAGTTGCTTCTGCATCCAGAGTAAAAGATATTTTTCCTTGCCTTGGAATCCAGAACTTTATAAAGTTAATGTACAGTCCCTGCTAAAGGAAGGTTGAGTGGGGTCATGAGATGGTAAGAAAAGCTGGCCACATCATTTATCTGGGATTGATTAATCTCAACCAATGAAAGGGTTTAACTGATGCAAGAAACTGAGGTCTACACTTCATCCTTATCCTTATTTGCCAGTAAAGGGGGCAATTAGTATTAATTGTGTTGGCAATTTGGAACAGCCGTAAGGGAATTGATCCAACACAATTGCATAATGACCTCTCTGTCCCATTCTACTCCCAGCCATTACTCATAGTCAGATGGAATAAAAATGCTTGTAAACATCTTTCTGTCAGAGAGAGTAAATGTGCACTCTCCTCACACATTTACAGTGCCTTGGATATCAGTTTTTAATATACATGTAGTGACCTGATGATACAGGTCTGCCACTGAGACAAGAGTGGGATCAGCACTGGACTGAAAGGATACATTTTAACATAGAAATGTTCACAATCTTCCTTCTTACCCCCATTCCTACCTTGTTCTCCATCCCCACCTAAAGCAGTTAGTTTACTTAAAGGGAAGGGAGAAAGAGGTGGGGGAAACTTGGGAGCCTGTGAGGGGCTCTGGAGGTTGTGGAATGTCAGATAACAGGAGGGGAAAATAAAGATAAATTTGATCATCTTTAATGTCCTTCAGGAGCCGCTAATAAGGGAGGAATTTTTATTATTTATTTTGCCTAACAGACTGTTCTTCTTTAACTGTGATGTGGCTCACTGGATAATGTGAACCACTGCTCTATCGGGGTTACACAAGTGACATAAATAGGACAATCATGTAGTGATGGAATTGTTCAGAGAGGAGGTGAGAGGGAAGAAAATGACGTACCTTCTCTGGCCTTCACCCACCCAATAATCGGTATGTATGTGTGTTTGGTCTGGTTTCGCGTCCGTGAACACGCAAATCCTAGTTTCCCCGTTCTCCTATATTTGGTGACAATTAGATTGGTTGTATCGGGTGAGCTGGCTTTTGTAAGAGGAAGGAATTTTACTAAAAAATTCCCCTGCTTCGTTACCAACTTTTATAGTCGCTGCAGTACTGTAGCTATTGGGGCCTCAAGGGCTAAAGTGGGACAGGGCTAGCATTTTTGATTAGATAATACTTTGTTTTAAGGGAAGCTGGGTGTTTGCTGAACTGGTATGGAGGTCACACTATGGGTCACTTTAGCGATTCCAGTGACGGTGGCTTTTCATCGGGCTTAAAGCACCCAGGACTTGGGAACGCCACAGTGGTTTGCAATGGACTGCACACTTGTGGTGGCAGGTCCAATTCCCAGAGGAGGGCACTCGGGAGCCAGCGCCAGAGGAACTGGTTCCTAGCGGGAAGGTCGAGCTAACGGGTGAGGTCACAGTTGCCATGGCTCTAGGCAGTGACGCGCGTCGACACGTGACGAGCGGTTGCCATAACGCTAAGCCGTGGCGGTGCGGGCGCTCCGCCCCCGGAGTGACGTCAGCGCCCCCTCTGTCCGCCCCCGCCCCCTCCCCCTCCGCCGGCTCCCCGCGGTCCCGGAGGTTTCACTGCACAACAAGATGGCGGCGGCGGCAGCAGCGGCGGCGAGCGGAGCTGGCGGTGCTGCCGGGACCGGAGCGGGAGGAGCGGGGCCGGCGGGCCGCCTGCTGCCTCCTACTGCCCCGGGACCCTCGGCTGCCCCCGTTACTGTGGCCCCAGCGGCTAGCTCGCCGCGTCCCCCAGCCCCGGCCTCCCGCGGGCCGGTGCCTGCCCGCATCGGCTACTACGAGATTGACCGCACCATCGGCAAGGGCAACTTCGCTGTGGTCAAGCGGGCCACGCACCTCGTCACCAAGGCCAAGGTAGTAGCGTGGAGGGACTGGGCGTCTGCGGGGTTGCGCAACCTGGGGACCGCGCAACCTGGGTCCGCGGTCCGACCGTAGCGGGGGCAGGAAGGACCCGCGATTCTGAAGCTGAAGGGTCGGCGGAGCTTGGGGTATTGGAGAGCCTTGGGGACTGGGAAATCGGGTACGGAGGTTGTGGAGGGGAAGTGAGGAGAGGGCGAGAAGGTGGGAAACACCTAGGGACTCCTCTACGGCAGAGGAGGCGCGAGGGGTCAGACATTAAGCACCAGGACCTGGGGAACTGAGGACCCGGGAATGGGGAGTGGGGAGCGCGTATGGCGTGTGTAGAAGACTTGATTGGAAAGGTTTGGAACTCTGACGGAACCATGAGACTAAGCTAAGGAGACTCTGGAACCAGTAGTTAGCAGATCCTAAGGGAATGAGGTCAGGGCCATAGGAAATGTGAACCAGGAGGGTGGGGGAAGACAAGGGTAAACTGGACGTCTGGGGCATGCTTTAGGGGTGTGTGGTGGGTACTGGGTATTGGGGGATAGGAGGGATCTGGTACTTTATGACAGAGATATCCATCTGCATAGGGTCGTCTAGTACTGATAGATGATGGGAATGGAAGCCTAAGGACAGACAAGATCATTGGAGGGAGGAGTCGAAGAAAGTGAGGAAATACAGAGGAAAAATTTTCTTTTCTTTTCTGCAGGAATGGGCTCAGGGAACATAGTGGCGGTGCAGGTTTATGGTGGCATTAGGTAATCAGGGGTTAAAAACTTTGGGAGAGCTGGATTGTTGATTAATTTTAGTTGTTCGAGGTTCTGGAATTGTAAACTTTATAGAACCCAGGGTGAGCTGTTGATGGTTTGGGGAAAGGCTGGTGACTGAAGAGGTCTGTGAGGAATCCCGACACTGGAGGATTACACTCATTGGGCCCTTTGGTTCTCAAGGGATTTGTGGAGTTGTAGTAGTGAAGTTGGCCAAGGTCAGTTAGGAAGCCATACATGTAAATATATAAATTTTTACGTGTAAAATTCCTTTTTTAAGGAAGTATAGGTAGCACTTTTCTGTAGCCATCTTTACTGGGAGTATTGGAATGTAAGACATCAGGCAGAATCATTTGGTTTCAGTTCGATGCACAAAGCCTATTTGTACTACAGATTTTTTCTTTGTTCAATCTCTCACTTGAATGAACACTTTGATGTAGTCATGCACCATATTTAAAAGTGCAGTTTTCCTCAACCTGACTAATGAAGAACTCTTATAGCTACTGTTGCTGCTTCCTATAAAAGCCACATCAATTCCTCTCACCTTCTCAGCCTAGCCTCTGGTTGTCATCATCTACCTTGTTTTTGCTTGTATGGCAGTTGTTTGTTTTGAGAACCAGGGACTTAATCAAGGCCTTCTATCCTGCTCACTGGCAGCCTGAAGTTCCTTTCCCCCTCATTTCTGTTAGTGACTACAAGGGGCCATTGTGGTGTGGCAGGGTGGGAGCCTGTGGAAAATTGATTGGTCATTTTCACTTCCTCTGGGGAGGGGGTGCTCTTTAGCCTTTCTGTCAGTTTTTATCAGAGGGCCTCAAGTTTGCAGGTCTGAGCTGCTGGAGATAGCAGAGTCCAGGGTTCCCGGTGTTACCATCTTACTATCTCCACCTTCTCACTCCCGAATCCCATGTAATGTTTCCAGTTCTGTTTACTGTTAGCAAAATCAAACTTATGTTTACAAACAACTCTAATTATTGGAGCTTTGTTTCTTGTTCTGGTGTTTCCTTTTTTGCCCCTGCACCCCAAGCAATCACATTGCATTCCTATGATTATTTTGCTCTGATCTTTGGGGTATGGACTCCATGAACTTAATTGGTTGGTTTGTGGTATGTATGACTTAAAGAATTTTCTATTTTCCAGCCCTTGGATACACCAAGATATTGATCAAAAAAATTTGTGACAGACAGGGTTGAAAGTTTTTGGAAATATAATTGCAAACAGTTGGTTTTTGGCTTTATATATATGAGACATATCTGTCTTCAGTAGTCAGCAAAGCCAGTGCTTAATTATGGCTGGTCTGCCCACTTTCTAATTTTCCTGTATGTGTATGTGTGTTTCTTAGTTTTTCTCCGAGGCCTTGGTATCCTTTAGGACTGCAGCATTTTAAACACTGGCTTGTTTATAAATGGGTGCCACTGTTGATGTTGGTTTTAATTTAGATCATTTGTGGTGTGGGGTTTTGCAATTCTTATGTATGGAAATATTCAAAATCTTGAATGAGGCTGAAATGGATGGCTTGAACAGTGAGTTCAATGAGTTGCATGTGTGGTGGGACCATACCAGCACCCATTTGTATTTCTGTAGCAGTGTGCAATTAACTAGTTACATTTACAAGCACCCTATCTTTTGCCGCTTAAATTACTCTGAGGACATGAGTGAGGCTTAATTCACAAGGAGTTGTCATATGCTCTGAGTGAATGATGAGCATATTTTGGCGTGTTCCATGCTTAATCTGAATCCACTTTGGAAGGGTTTCTCAAATGCTGACAGCTTAGATGTGCCTACCAGCTGTTGACTTACAGTATGATGGCCTATTAAGACCATGGCTTGGTTATATAACAGAAGGTGCCTAAGTTACTAGCAGTTGCAGAAACTGCTGTTTCAGTTACTCAGGTAGATAGGTTTTTCTTCCCATGCACTGCAGTGTTTATCTTACTTCTGCAATCAGGTCACTTGGAACCAAAGAGAGCTATTTTTTTCCATCTCTTTCCAGAATATTATTTGTTTCTTCCTTTAGAGGTATATGATTTCTTCTTTCTCCTTTTATTCCTGCAGGCCACTGAATGGTCTGGGTTTTTCTTTTAACCATATATAACAATCAGACTCAGGTAATTCAGATGATACTTGTGTTGGCTGAAGGTTGTTAGGTAGTAGGTGTTTTTGAACATCAAATAAATATTTATGGTCACCTTTTCTTTTTTTAGATTTTATTTATTTACTTTTAGAGAAAGGAGAAGGGAGGGAGAAGAGAGGAGAGAAACATCAATGTGTGGTTGCCTTTCACGTGGCTCCCACTGGGGACCCGGCCCACAGCCCAGGCATATGCCCTGACTGGGAATCGAACCAGCGACCCCTTTGGTTCACAGACTGGTGCTCAATTCACTGAGCTATACCAGACAGGGCTGTGGTCATCTTTTCTTATATGTACTATCCATTCCAAGGACTAAGAGGCTAAAGTAAACTTCATTTATTGACAAAGCTATTACACTTCATCCAAAAATAAATGGTGAAACTGGCTCTTTCCCAGAACCTGTTAACTCTCAAACCTCCTAGGGAAGGACCCTGGGATGAATAAAATCAGTACAGAAACGGAAATATTTTAATATTTGGTTGTCAGTGACTTTTGCAGCATGGCATTTATGAGCTCTGAGTTAATGTTGGCGGCACTGCAGTGCTTAGAGCGTCACTGTAGAACAGTTGGTAGGAGAGAATATTCATCTCCAACATACTTTGGTCAGCAGCTCATCCTGGCTGTCTCTATTCTATAATCTTTGATTTCTTTTCTTCTTCTTTTTTTTTTGAGGAGCCTTAGTCTGAGATTCTTTGGCTCTATTCTTTGGTAGGCCACTATGAAGTATTAAAGCAATTAAAAAAAGATTTTCTGCTGTTAAATGCTTGTAGCCTGTACCTAATTATACTTTAACTGTTTGGATGAATAAGAACAAAGACTAGATAATATTTTGTATATTTTTTCTAAGTATACATGACTGTAAAAGCCATTGTTCAATACTTTTAAAATTTTTTAGAATTTATTGATTGATTTTTAGAGAGAGAAAGAAAAAGAAAGAACTATTGGAATAGAGAGAAACATTGATTGGTTGCCTCAGGTACATGCCCTGACTGGTAATCGAACATGTAGTCTTTTGGTATATGGGATGATGTTCCAATTAATTGAGCAACACAGCCAGGGTGGTCAAATATTGTTAATGTGTATTTAACAGGTAACTATCACTTGCCCATTACTAAGTTTATGGTAAGAGCTTGCACTTTGGGTAAGGCTGCCTGAGTTTGGGTCCTCTGCTGCATAATAGCTGGGTAATCTTGGGTAAATTATTTAACTTCTCTGTTCTTGGATTACCTCATCTGTAAAGTCAGATGACAGTAGTACTTACCTCCCAAGTTTGGGCATTATTAAGGTTGAATAACAATACTTGTGAAGCTCTTAGAGCAGTACCTGACACATAGTAGGCATATAGTCAGTGTTGTTATCATCATCATCATAAGATGCTTTAGTAATGAAGATGAGTAAGACATAGTCCTCCTTTTTTACCTTTCATCCCTTTGAACAGTTTATAAATGCACATGCCATTCGTTTTGTGTAGGTATATGTCATCCTGATGATATGCTTTCAGGGTAAAAAAAAAAAAGTTTGCTATTATGTCATGTGTCACTTGGAGAGAGCTGGGTTTAACTCCTGTAATCTATGGGCTAATTTCATGAATTGGCATTTTAGAAAATAATTTTACATTAGTTAAACTTTTAAAATAGTTGTGAGTCTTGTCTAATGAAAACTGTGACTAAAGCTGGCTTTTATTTGGGCTGCTTTGACTATTCCATGTGTTTGTGTTACTATTCTTTGTCACATTGGAACAGAGTTTGTTTGAGTGCGGTCTTTTCTCCAGAGATTCACTTAAATTTGGCAGAGAATGTGAAGAAATAGTTTTACAAGACTTAAGAACACATTTGCATTTGGGCGCTGCTTAAAAGGCCAAGGGCAAAATATTACAGAGAAAATGTTTTGCCCTATGACCACATTCCAGATACTGACCAGCTAGGACACATCTGCGAACTGTGTGGTTTTAGTGCAAACTCATTTACATAAGGAGTAAAACTTAGAGTGGGCTAATAGTATCATATTCACTTCTAAGGAAGACTTTAATGAAGCAGATGAGATGATGCTTGTGCCTGCTCCTCAGGAGGCTGAAAACAAGGTTCATTGCTAAGTGGAAAAGAGAATTATGTCAAAAA